CACCACGTTATTGTTTGAAGCCTGTTCTTACATATCGCCGCAGAAACCTTTTCGAAGGTTTTCAGCGGTGTGAGAAATCTGCGGACGTAAAAAGTGTTCCGCATCTTCAAAACTCTCCCTGTTTTTCCTGAAACGTCGATGCCACTCAAAAGCTTGCGTTTGTGATAGTGTATTACTACTGTACGCATGCTTCAAAATTTCGTCAATCCCTGTAGCGCTTTACAAAATTTGATATTCATTCTCTGCTCTACAAATGTCATTTCGTTCAATCGCTGGTTATAAATCTATCCGTTTGTGATAATCCCTCCCCCAAGAGTGATTATCTCTTTGAGTATTAGCGTGAGCTAGATGCGTAGGATTAACGAAAGAACTAGAAGGAAACATTATCTTAATATGACTTTATTAAGATATTCAACTTAAACCTTAACAAATTAGATTATAATAATTTATATGTGAGAGAATCTACGATGGTAAAACACACCACACACAATATATTTATAATAACGACTTAAATCAACTCGGACCACTATCAATAACTGAATCGCTTACACTCAATTCTAATACAATCACTGATCCTAATATTAAATAATCAATCCTACCTTGTTGTAGCATCAGTAAACGATCACACTAGTTTTAAATGAGCTTGCGATACTTCATGTGCAATGGTAAGCACCTTGATTACTGGATCTCTATCACGTATAATTACTATTGTTCGCCACGTAACGTTATCTAAAACTTCTTCAATCTAGAACCACGGACTGTTTACATTCCACTAATTGCCATAAATTGCCATCACGCTTACTCTAACTTCTGATATTTAAAAGGTTCTTAATTTGCATCTTTCTTTCACACTTCACTTCTTGGATTTGGTTGGAAAAGAGTTGCCATTAATTCTGGCCCCAAAGAACCCAAAGGACATTTTAAAAAAAGACGCGTGAGCCCGTCACACGTTTACAAAATACGATGCCGCGATGAGTCACCGACCACTTCATTTAGGAAAAATCACTTTTAGAAATGGAGAAGAACGGAATTACATAGAAATGTTATCGTAGTGACTATATGGCAAAAATTTTTCTAGTTACAGGCTCAGTCCGAGAACTTTTGAACCCTACCTCTTATACATATTTATAATTTTCTTTCCAAATTTTAATTTTGATTCGCAAACTTCCTGAGTTTGACGCGTGAAACCCTAGGTTATTCCGCAGAACATAGGTGGTTTGAAAGTTCTTTCTATGCTTCGAAATCGAAGTTCATATTTAATAGCACAAAGACTGTAAAATCTGACTGCAATTTTAATCTTACTTACTTACTGCAGAGAATCGAGCTCACCCAAAGGGTTTAGAGCTGCATCCGACCCTCCGAGAAGTATTTTATTTTCGCAATTTTAATCTGAATTATAAAAGGAAAAATGAATGTTCAATTCATGTCTGTTAAAAGCAAACTGAATAAAAATTATTAGCATAACTAATGTTTAACGCTTTCCGTGGGAATGTAGATGAAAATTTTTAAAAGTATTTTTGTTAAGAAGTTTATTTTATATATAAATGTTTGTTCCATTAATAAGTAAGAATGATATAACCTACTAAAATTAAAACATCAGTATTTTGAAAATAAATACTTTAAAAGTCCGGCATGATACTTATATATCTCCTTTAAAATAAAACTCGCAACTTCAATTCTGGAATAGATTAATTGAAATTCAGTAAAAAGTACTATTTTAAAATCAATGAACTGTTTAGTTTTTCTAAAGTTGTATTGCAAATTGATTAGGAAAACTAAAAAAAAAAGTTTGTTTTAATTTATTTATCAATGTTTTTATGATTTTTTCAGATGTGATTTGCGTTGCTCGGATACGAGTCCAATTTTGACTACCAATACAATCAGATGTTTTAGCTTCTAAAAGCTGAGGTAAGAATCATTATCAGTATTTTCTTGAGTAATTTTTTTTTGTTGTCTGTTTTTTAGGTATTGAAATAGTTTTTAAGTAGAGAGATGTGAAAGATATTTCTTATACGATATGAATCGTAACTCCAAATTACACATTATGATTTGTTGCATCATAGAGATCTTCTTTTCGAAATACTATCAAGGTTGCCAAAAACCATTACAGAAAATTAAACTAAAATAGCACTTTTAGGGGCGATAATAGCCTTTGTTGTTCTGTATCTCATGTAACCTAATAAATTGTACCATGAACGCTACGAGAGGTTTTTGTGTGTATCGAGTAATCAAATGTTTACATTGTTTTAATTTTCTCTGTAACTTCATTTGTCAATGAATAAGATATTTTCTGATTTCTTTTGGTACATGTAGGTTTAATATCACGCTAGTGCAGAGTGATTCTCAAAGTTTCAATATTTGCGACCCAATATTCAATCATAATTTTCATTGCGCCCCCCCTCCATACAATAACAATGTATTAAATTCAGTAATACAATACTTTGACGCTAAACCTACAAAATACGACTTTAACCTCTTAAGTTCCGCCGGCGTATATAAACGGCTCACTTAGCTAGTGCGTTAATTGCCCCTGACGTATATATACGTCTTTCCGAAGTACGATCTTTTCTGTACACTGCTATCCATAAAATTATCCCGAAGGCTTTGGAATGCAATAAAATGACATTTACAGTGTTTGCGGAGGATTTGCTTATTTATTCCTTTTCTCTCCCCCTATTTGAAAAATTGGGGTGTTTGGGAGCGAATCGCGTAACTTTAATCTAACAGTTAAGGAATAATAATAAACCGTACAAATTATCAAGATGAGTGTTAATTTTTGAATATAATTTTATACATGACAAGCCCATTGGGTCATTGGTATTTACTAATGTCGTTCTTAATTTAGTATTGTTAAATTAACTAAAAATACATTGTGCAGTTCTGATACATTTATAATTGTATTATATCAGTGTAAATGTGTATTTTATTTTTTTATTATGCCAGAATGTATTTTATTTGTTTACTTTCAGTAAATTAATAATTTTTTTTAAAAAAAAAATAATCTTTTGTTTTCGACTTTTCAATATACTCGCCCCCCTCGTAGAGTTGTCACGACACCCTAGGGGATCGCGCCCCACAGTTTGAGAAACTCTGCGCTAGTGTTATACAATGGGAAACTCTTTAAGTTTATCGTATTTATAAACAATTGTGAGAAAATATCTGAGTAAGCCTTTTGCTGCTGATTTTTTCACATTGCACCTTATGAGGAATTTTGACTACTTTAGAAACAAATTATCTTATAAGTATATCGTTTTCGTTTTGAATTATACTGCGATTCAATCAATTTTGGTGACTACGACCACCCGTATAGAAGGAAAAAAATGCTGAAGACGTTTTTTCTTCACAATATGTTTCTTGGAACTCTGCATTGTTTTAGTGTAACTGAAGAATGCTTTGAGACTTCGTATTGAATAGAGAAATTCACAATTCATTATTTCTGTTAACATTTTTCTCTCATCATGTGGTTGATTTCTCAAAATGTTTTATTTCTTGTCAAGAAATTTTGATTCGATATGAAGAACTGCGATTACCCTAAAGTAAAATTCCGGATAGCGTAGCAGATGACGTTTAGAGTCGTTATTCTTCTTGAGCACTACTGGGACTGATGTATGCTGAATTGAACTGGATCTTAACATCTCGTGTGGCGTGATGTGGAGTTTAAAGAGAGTGAAGCATCAAATATATCGTCATCGTTTCATAATTGTTGTCCATAATTATGAAAGCTTTTCCAATAGACTTTTTGCTGTGTAGAATAGTTTGATTCAAACAATAATTCCATTCGGTATACCTGGAAATGAAGTACCAATGCTGAATTCGATAAGCCCACTTCCCCTTCCCCAAAAAGAATTTCGGAAATTCTGAATAGGGACAAAGAATGCATTTTCTACAACTTGATTTTTTTAAAAAAATATTCAATTAAATTATAATATTCATCACTTGATAGATGCATTCCTGAAGATAATTGTGTAGCAGGGGGTGATGGGTCACACGGGTTTCTTAACACACAATTCCCTCGAAAAATCATTCAATTTTTGTAATTTCTTGTATAAATTTTATTCGTCCATAAACGGTTTTTTTCACCGAAAGGAATAATTTTCTAAAAGTACGGATATATATATATATATATATATATATTAAAGTATAAAATTATGAGAATAAAATTTATTAGCATATGAGAAGAAATTATTTATTGCGGGTGGATGCTATATTTAATTACGTTTTATGTTACGTAATTGAAAATGTACGAACGAAATGTCTTTTGCTGTGATGCGAAAATTAATGCTTGAAAAATGTCCTTGAAGAAGTAAGCTTAGTCTATTATGACAGTTGTGATTATTTTTTAGTGACTGAATATTTATTAACGTTGTACCAAAAAAAAGCAACACGAGGGTTATTGACGATGAACCTCGGAATTTTAAACCATGGTCTAGTGACGAGGATGATACTCTCCTATCCCACCAACGTGAGGACTCTGATCCACGATAGATTCAACGTGCATCGGCTCCTCTACATTGCGGATCTTGAGTGGCAAAAGGACTCGAACTCATGACACGACGGCCAGGAGTTGATGACCATGACTAACTACTATGCCATCGCAGTATTGTAATTATTTTTGAAGTCGAGGAAGAGAGAGTAAATAATAATAAAAAATAAAGTCTAAATCGAGTTTTTGATGTTGATAAATTGTTATATGTATTGTAGCCGAGATGGTTATAGTCGCTTGGTTCGAATTCTAATTCTTCTAATGACTGTCGAATAGCATAATGAGGCTGTTACGAATAACTTCAATATTCTCTCGAGGTTTGGTAGCTGGGTGATTGAAGGAACTAGTCAGGCCCTGACTAGTTATTTGTCCCTGGTTTCAAATTCGTTGCTAAAAGCTCTTGTTTTGACGCAAATGCCACGCGTCAATTAGAACATTTCTTTAGAAACAAATTCATTGCAAGAATGCTTTTCTAAACTATTTGAACCAACTTAGTGTCTGACAAATCGGCCTAAATGTACCTGTAGCGCAATGGATAGCGCGTTGGACTTCTACTCCAAAGGTCGTGAGTTCGAATCCTACCTGGGATGGCCTAATTTCTGAGAATGTGATTTATGAATGAATAAATAGTAACAAACAAAAAATGGGGTAGTTCAACACCCTACATAACAAGGAAAATTGCTTCCTATTTTGCCACTTAATATTGTGATTCTGTCATATGTATGTACATAATTCTATTAATTGTAACTATTTAATAAAAAGTAACTGAAATAAAATTTTTCTTTGTGACCTAAGTAGGAATTGACTTTAATTTTTTTAGTATTACTTTGCACCGATGTATTTCACGGGTTCGAATTTGACACCCCTGATGTACACTATGGATCTTCAATTGCATCGAGTACGAACCCACGAGACCATAGAAACAACGCCAGCTACGAAATCGCGACCGTAACCATTGGGCTACTATAGCCATTATGCGATTGTTAATGCTGCAGATTTCGAAAATGGGAAAGAGTATTTGAGATTTAGACAATTTTTCTGATGAAAGTGAGTATTTATTAACGTCACACTGTAAAGCAACCCGAGCGCTATTGGCGGCAGACTTCGTAACTTTGAACCATGGTCAAGTTACGACTATGGCACCTGAGTGGCCATATATAGTCACGACTATGGGTTTGCAGACGTATATCATTGTTTTCTTGAATAGTGAAACGTTTATGTATTAATTTTTCAATGAAGTTTCTGAATTCTATTATAACTTTGCTGTAACAGTATACTCCAGAGGTGAAGAACTCGCGATCTCCGTGAGTTTCTTGTGCGGCCTTCATAAAAGCTAGCACTTCTATTTATTTACATTAAATTACATAGATTACAACAGTTTTTAAGTAAAGAAAGGCATGTGTGTATGTTTCAATGACTATTCGTGGGCATATCCATTTGTATATTTCAAATGTTAGAACGCCACCTAGTGCAACAAGGCAAAACTACCACACAGGCTCATGTAGAGGAACAATCAAGGTTTCACGTTATGAAGTTTGATCCAAATCTAATTTATACATAAATAAAAATACCAACAGCGAAATATAGAAAGTTACAACAATATCTATGGATTTAATAAATTTATAGAAGAAGAATAATCACACAATGCTGATTGTTATAACAAGTTTTTACCCTTATGTGAATACAAAAATATTTTATTTTATAACTTTTTATACAAAATAATAAATAAATAAGGATTTAAATTTGCTTATAATATTTCTATTTAATGCACAAAATTGTTAAATCTATACAAAAAACTATAATAATTTTATAAAAGTCGCATCTATAGGTACATCAGCATATGCAGCCTTTTTTTTATTGCTACCTAATTTACATGCGGCCTCTAATGGTAAAAAGGTTTCTCTTCTCAGGTATATTTTGTATAAGTAAAAAAAATTATTCCAAAAAACATTGAAAAATACATTCATTTTGATAACTGATGTACCTATGTGATAATTTCTTTATCTATAAATAATATATTTAGATGAAGTACCGTAAAATCTGGCTTATAATGCGCACCTATACTTTCAAGCCGTAATTTTTAATTTTTAGATATAACGCTCGTCCTCCTTTTTGTACTAAGAAACCTGTAAAGTACGTGCGCAATGCTCCTATATTTTGAAGTGATTTATTCGAGGTATTATTTCAAGCTTTAGAAAAAAATAGTTTACTTTTAGAGCTACAAACCTCTAAGTTCCTAAGTAATGTCATTTTTTTCTAAAAAAATAAACAATATTTCGATCTATGTAGAAGTCGAATTTTTTTCTATATATGTTCTTTGTTTATTTTTAAAGCTATCATTTTTATATATCCAACATATAACGCGCGCCTGTAAATTTCGATCATATTTTTTTATGTTAAATGTGCTCGTTATATGCCGGATTTTACGCTATATGCTTGCTGTAACAATGTGGATTAACTAAGAAATTTTTTGGTGGAAGGGGAATGTAAGTTATACATTTATCCAATTAAATTAGTTTCTTTACCGAACGAAATCTATACATTCGATAATTTTAATTTAACAATCTCACGAAAGACTGCTTCATATGCGAGTACTCAGTCGATTTTATCCCAGTTTTGAAGACTGTTCGACTGATGGGCTTGCTCAAATAAGGAACGCTCTCTTCCGGCGGAAAAATAACGAATCGTTTTCATTTCCGGAACAGGAAGGGGGAGGGGGTGACAAGTGTCGTTCACCACGTCTCACATAATCCATTGTGGCATCTTCCGACCTTGACATACTCTCCAATTGGGTGATTTAGAGAGACAGTTCCGGTTCTACATCTTGTTGCACCCCTTCTTCGAAATATAAATGCTCTTTTCATTCATTCATTGATGACGAGGACGAACCTTAATTTAATAACGGCATTCAGAAGTTTGGAATGATATATGTTTCCACAAGACATTCCGCGACAAGTTCTGCTGAAGAATACTGGGATGGAGAGGTTAGTGCGGGAACTAGAGGATTACACTGATGAAAAGATAAATATTCTGAAAAAAAAAGAATGAGTTTTTGTTGATTCATTTTCAATTCCGAGCAATATAAAGGGTGTTTTTTTAGAGGTATAGAACTTTAAATTGCAATAAAACAACGATTTATTATTCGATTGACATGAATTTTATTTATTCGAAAGATAATCTTGTGGCATTACATTTTAAATATGATTTCTGGCATAGGACTGCCACGGCTGGCTCGGATGTAGTCCAATCTGGACGTCCAATTTTTGATGACTTTTTCCAACATTTGTGGCCGTATATCGGCAATAACACGGCGAATGTTGTCTTCCAAATGGTCAAGCGTTTGTGGCTTATCCGCATAGACCAATGACGTTACATAGCCCCACAGAAAATAGTCTAGCGGTGTTAAATCACAAGATCTTGGAGGCCAATTCACAGGTCCAAAACGTGAAATTAGGCGGTCACCAAACGTGTCTTTCAATAAATCGATTGTGGCACGAGCTATGTGACATGTTGCGCCGTCTTGTTGGAACCACAGCTCCTGGACATCATGATTGTTCAATTCAGGAATGAAAAAGTTAGTAATCATGGGTCTATACCGATCACCATTGACTGTAACGTTGTGGCCTTCATCGTTTTTGAAGAAGGATTCCACCAGCCCATAAAGCGTACCAAACAGTCAGTTTTTCTGGATGTAACGGTGTTTCGACATACACTTGTGGATTAGCTTCACTCCAAATGCGGCAGTTTTGTTTGTTGACGTAGCTATTCAACCAGAAGTGCGCTTCATCGCTAAACAAAATTCGCTTATGAAAATCGGGAACAACGGCAATCTCGTTTTGGGCCCATTCGACGAATCTACGCCTTGCTTGATGATCGTTTTGATGAATTGCCAAACCAAACTGAGAATAAATCACTTGACAGCTGTTAAATCGGTCGCCATCTTGGAAAGTAATGCCAACTTAAACTTCTATACCTCGGGAAAAAAAAACACTCTTTACTTCCCTATGATGTTGTTCAGCGGTTCTTAAATTTTCAATCGCCCCCGCCTTTTATGTATCAGCCTGACATCACGGACCCCCCAAAAAAAATTTTGAACCACCCTTATTCACAACAAAAGGCTGAGTGATTTAAAGACGTCTCAATACTCTTAAGACTACCTCTGCTATTTATACAAATTTTTTTAGCAATCTTTTTTTTTCTTTTAAGGTGAAGGTGGACCTTCACAATGTCAAATTTTGGTCAAAATTGTGATTTTAATTTTAAATACTAGTGATATTTCTGATACTTCATAGAATAATCCTGTCCAAGAACTTTTTCATTTTGATTAAGAATTCGCAAATTTGTGCATTAGTTTTCTAAAAAATTTAATGAATCATACTTTGGGGATGCTTTGAATACCTTGAATGTGTGATAATTGGTGAAATATTTCATATAATATAGAAATTTTATTCATTTTTTTCATCAAATTTTATTCTGAATTTAAAATCCCCGCACAAATATACTTTGTTGTAGTTCATCTGTATATAAAACAAAAACTATGTACATATCTTAAAAAATAATGCGCAAGGAGCATTTTTAAAAATAGTTTAAAAAATTTAATCTTTCAAAAAATCAGTTTATAAAAGTTTTTTTAAAAAAATATATTTAAATTGTGAGATATAATAATCATTTACTATACTGATTCCATTTTCAGCTAATTAATCTAACAATTTAAGAAATTGGTTTTAATGGTCCACTGTCCCCTTAAAAACAGTTAACATCTAATTATATAAGAATATAAAAATATTGCAAAATGCTAGTTATAAATAAATAAATATTGTAGGTGCAAATCAAAAAAGAATACAGGCGGAATTCGATTAAGAAATCGAGATGGATGCAATCGTCATCGTATTGGCGCATTGTGTGAACTCAATTCTTAATCTTTACACATGTGTGCTTTTATTATCTATATTTTTAAAATACAGTCGGACCTCTATATAACGAAGTCGTTAAATCCTCCCAAAAAGTTCGTTATATGGAAAATTCGTTATAGAGAGGTTCATCTTTCAATTTTATTTATAAACCACACATAAAACAAATTTTAAATTCATTAACACTATATATTAAAAAAGTAATTATTCATACCGTTTTGTAAATTAATATATATTGATTTTATATATCTTACCTATAAAAAAAAGAAAGAAAGAAAAACTGTAAGAAAAGTTTCTTGACGCCTTTGTCCACTTTCTGAAGAAATAAATTTTTTTTTCTTTGATACTCAACCACTTACGTTTTGATATTTTCGAGCTACAAGAAACGAAGCTACCAGCACGACTAATCAATACTACAAATGAACGGATACTAGTTCAAGGACACGAGACTCCACTGAGGGTGAAAGAGGATATCGATGATGTTTCCAGTGAACTGGACAATGGGGATTAAAGTTTGAACTTCTAGGACGAAATGCCGAGAATTCTATTGCTCTTGGAGAGTTAGCCACCTAATAAAACCATTTCAAGGTATATGATCACCCAAAAATGTCTTAAAAAGGAGAACAACTCGAAATGTCCAAAAATACTTCAAAAATAGGGAGAAAAAAATTGAATCACAA